GCAAGGTCATTCTTACTCGGTTGAACCGGGCGAGGAAGTCCCTCAATCCCTCTCCCGGGGATTGTTTAATAGCAAATATGTCGTTTACTCTTGCTGAGGCCTTCTTGGCCCCAGCATGGGCCGTTACGTACTTGTCGGTCATTTCTTCAAAAGTTTCAATGGAACATGCTGGCAGTTGTGAATACCATGTAAATGCTCCTCCCTTGAGGGTCTCGCCGATTTTTTCCAACAAAATGGAGGATACTTGTTCCTTGGCGAGATCATTGCATTTAACGACGGTGACGTAGTGAGTCACATGGTCTTCGGGGTCGGTCGTGCCATCATATATTTTTAGATAGGATGACATTTTAAAGGTTTTTGGTGATGTGGGCGGCGTCATCACTATACGGCTGCTCGACGATCCGACCGACATCTCTCTTCGGCAAGAGATTTGGGGTGCCCGGTATCTTATCGACCCTTTCTTGGTGTTCTCTCATTTGGTCCCGAAGCATTTTTTTTCTCATTCTTCATTTCCTCCATCCTTTTCAGAATGGCTGCGAGAGTGTCGTCACCTGCACTATTGATGACATTGTGAGTAATACCTGTCGTTGGGGGAGGAGGAAATTGGTTATGCTGCTCGTCTGCTGGTTGTATAACGTAAGTCCTTGCGCATTTTCTGTAGCCGTGTCCCGAGCGGGCTTATGGAGGACGTTGGTTAGCTTATCAGTTAGCCAAGCCTCAAGGAGCTTTTTTACAGCTAGGGGCGTCTCCTCCGCCACGGATGTGGAAGCTCCCTTACCAAGAGATTTTGTGATACTGGAGTGAGGAGGAGGTGATCCATCTCGTCCAGGGGAGACGTTGGGCGTTGCGTCTCCGTCTGCTGTTTCACATCTCTCATTGATGATGTTCATGAGGTTGGTTGGGAGATCGCTTATTATTCTCGTCCTTTCTTCTCTGTTACCTGCCATATTGGATTTGTACATGCAAAGAAAAGAGATCTTGTTCTTGCTTCTTTTTTTTTTACGTTAGTGATCCGCGTTTGTTATAGATCTGGAGTAAACTAAAACTTTAACTAGGAAATTCCCACAAACGGCGCCAAATTGTTTGACCAAAAAGTATAACTTTCGGTTAAAACTATTGTATTTGTGTAATGATAGGTTAAACCTAGTTAATGATAATATCTCTAAATGCTAATTCTTAACATGTGGATAATGTGTAACAGATCTGGTGGGTGACTGATAATAACATGCATTAAATATTTCAAAGGGTATGAGCAATTATGGAGGAGTAACTAGCAATAAATAATAATAAATGACATTTAAGTAAATAAGAGAAGTGGTTCACCCAATAATGAATGAATTAGATGATTATTCTTTGTGACAATGATGAGTAACAGATAAATCTTAGAATGTTCGAACTATTCTCGGATCTAATGGATAACTGTGGAATAATATGAACAAAAATCTTGATGAAAAGGTAATTTTTGTATCTTTTACAAGAAAGAGAATCTTTATTAGAAGTCAGTTCTTATTAGTGAATCTTCTCCCCTTTTCTTATCTTTTTTCCTCTTTATATGGGACATCTCCCTAAAAGAAACCTAATAGTACATAGTACATGTACCCAGAATATTCTGTAGAATATTTTCTCTATTATACTATTCTAAAAACTAGCCGTTACAACCCTTTCCACGGTACTCGAGCTCGGTCATTGTTCACATTCCGACCACGAGTTTCGCCGTTTCCTGATCGACCTCGATTGACTCTTCCCTCGATGCTAACTCGCCCTAAATGCTCGGCGATAGATTTTGACCTATACACGGATCACAAGAGTCTATTGTTTCGAAATATGAAAGGTTAATTTCTCTTTTTGAGGATCTAACAATTTCTTTTTTCCCCTTTCCCTATCAGAAACTCTACACATATATATATGCCCGAGTTTCAATTCGAGTTAGCGGTAACAACGGCAACACAATTATTCATTATGTTAATCGCGCGAAGGATCTTATTCTATATTACTAACAGTTAATTTTAATTTAACAATGTAAAGCTGATAATTGGGAAGTTGTAGCCTGTTATTATTCATATTTTGCAAGTTACTAAAAAATTAGTAATACTTTAGGACTATCATTCGAGGAAGTAGAGAAATGGATTAGTAGTTAATTTTTCTTCATGGAGAAGTAATATAGAGTAGTAGTTATGTGGAATTGGTCAGAAAATTTGTGATTCATGTGAAAGGTGAGGCGAAATCACAAACTTGATTGATGAAAACGACTAAACCCCTTCTAAATTAAAACAAGTGCCAACATTAATAATTGAGCTAATAAAAGATTAATATAAGTCGATATATCCTTGGACCGCCTCAATGTGTCACTTTAACTTAACAGTAAAGTACTTAGAATTCCTGTCACAAAAATGTAGCTTCAAACAAAAATTAAATAAAATATATAAAATAAGAGGAGAAATTAGAAGTATCTCAGAGCGTCCTCTTCCTCTACGAAAGACCTATAAATACCCTCTCATACATTCACACATTTTCCATTCCAACAAATCAAAAACATTTCTTTTCCCATATATCTATCTCCCTCTCTTTCAAAGCATCAAATCTATCACAAATTCTAGCTTTCTCAATCGAACAAAATCCTTAAAAAAAATGGATCAAAATTTGCCAATTATAGCAAAGAAATTCTGGAACATAGTTCGAGTAGCTTTCTTCATGCTGAAAAAAGGCATATCAAAGAGAAAATTTATGCTCGATTTCAACTTATTTATGAAGCGTAGCAAAATTGCTAGCAAAGCCGCAATTCATAATCTCATGTTCCACCACATGACCCATCAATGGTCTAATTCTTCATCTTCTGCCACTTCGCACGTGGGAGATCTCTCACACGCTCCACCCGATGAGTACGAGTTCAGTTGCAGTAACAGCCCAGCTTATACTAAAACCTTCCACCTTCCATTCAACTTCAACAAGCGAAGCAAGCACCACGCGCATCATTTTCACGCGCCGGCCACCCCAGACGACGACGTTTTTATGATGAATGCGGCTGTGATGAAGGCTTTGGAGATGCTTCAGAATGATAATTCTTCGCCGGCTAATGATTTGCCGGGATTTGGGAGGACTCCGACGGTGAGGCAACTGAGGGTCACCGACTCGCCTTTTCCACTGAGAGACGTTGAAGATGATAGCCATGTTGATGAGGCGGCTGAAAATTTCATTTCAAAATTCTACAGAGATTTGAGGCGGCAAGCTTCTCCTGCTGCTAATTGATGCAATTGGAAGCTATATCGCAAGTATACAAATTATAAATATTTCTATTGATCAGAATTCATGCATGTGGATGGTGGCCATCAATGCAATAAAGAACGAAAATTTGGAGCACTATGAAGATTGTATATGCTTATTGCATGTATAAATTTCTGTTTTCGTGGGAGTTTTTTTTTTTCTTTTCTTTTTGAGGTATTTTTGAAATTTTCAAAAAGAAAATAGTACTTAGTACTAGTATATATATAGATGTGATGAAATAATTTTCCATTTATTCTTTTTATCTTTTTTTTTTTTTGTAATGCTATGTAATGTTCAGAGTCTTAAGTCCTGACTTGAATCCAATAATTTTCTTTAGCTCTTTCGTTAATTCTGTTCCTGAATGCTCGTTAGTTGCTGCTCTTTAATTTTATTAATTCGGAAGCAGAAAAGGCAAGAAGTAAAAGTTGAAAGTATACTACATATTACAGTTAGAATAAAGTGAAAACAGTGTTGGCAAGTTAAAAATTATTCGTTCCTTCAAGCCTAAGTGAAACATGAAGTCTCATCAGTCAACTGGCGTGATTTATTATCTAGTGTATCAATTATGAAGTTATGTATTTAATTTGAATCAGTTCCGGAAATTTTTTAAGATACTATCAGCAGGTATATACAAACTCCTATTAGTTAACTTCATGAGATACAAAACCATGATTTACTCTGCACAGAGGCGGATGGGCCATATTTCAATTGAATCTATAACTTTTGATACGGAGTATTAATATATATATCAAAATTAATTATATTTCAACAAATATTAGATCTGAACACATAATAATTTTAATATCATAAATTTAATACTTAGAATCTTAAAAATTAAACTAATTAAATTTAAATCCTTGATTTGTTTCTGACAGACTCTGCATATGTGTATCACTTTGATGCTTCATAGTTCACTATTTAATTAGTCAAAACCCTAACTGTAACATGGAATCTTATTGTACTATATCAACGGAAATTTATGCCCCAGCGGAGACACTGATATGGGGCGGAATTGACCGATGTGAAATCCACCCACTCCAATATCACAAATAATTCTGTTATAGTAGAGTTTTAACTTTATTTTGTTTATGTAGTTATTATGGTGTTTTATAAAGCAACTCCATTACTTTTAAGGCGGGTTCTAACGGCACTTGCTTTCTTTGTTGTTTTTGACGTGGTTTACTGAGGAAAGAATATTTATAATCAATTACAATTTGAAAAGAAAAAAATACCTACAAATACCTATTGTGTTATATGTAACACCCCGTAAATTCGGCTTAGGTGTGGACGTGTTAAATGGATAGTAATATTATATTTTAGACATATGCAGTTCTATTGGGATGAGTATGGGTAGAAATACTTGTTTTAAAATCAAGACGGAGAGTAAGGTATATAAGATTCTAAAAAATCGACTAAGTTTACGAAAGGTCTGCCTTCCACCAGGATTTCGTGAAAATTTGTAAGAAATTTTGGAAAACGCAAAACACGAAAGTTGTAGCCTTTAAAATAGCTTTCCAACGATATATTGTGGTGCCCGAACGGATCTCTGTGAAAAATGTTATGTGCGTTTTACGGACAATGCGCAGTATGCACGCCCAGATGCGCACCCAGATGGTCCCGTGCGCGGCTGCAAATTGTGGCAGTGTTATTGCACTGCTGCGCGTTCAGGTGCGCGAGAGCGCACTCGGGGGGACATTTTAAAAGCCCTACTTCGCCCCCACACCCCAAAACACAAACACTTGCTCTAGAAAAGGAAGCTCTCAAGAACCTAATCTCCCCCAAGGTCCCTCTACCATCAAAGGTGAGTTCTAATGTTGATATTAAGTTAATTTCAATTCTTCAACACCTTATTAACATGGGTAAACCCTTCGAATCATTAGATATTCGATTGGGACATCATTATTGAGAAAAGAAACTCTAGGATTCGAATTTAAGAGGATTGAACGTCAAAAAGGTAATATCTTCACCCTCTACTTGACTATAGTATTGGATTAATGATTATAGACTCAAGTTCATGGGATATCAATTTATGGGTTTGACAGAAAATCACGAACAATTATAGGTTTGGGTTGTTGATTGTTGATTATTGGTTAAGGGTGTTATTTATCTTATGGGCGATGAAGAATGATGTTGATTATAACCATTTGAGATTTTAGAATTTATCTAGGAGCAAGAGAATGTGTTATTGGTTGTAGAAGCACCATTAATAAGGACTATGAAGCTTTATACCCACCAAGCATTTGATAAAATGCCTAAGTGACCAAAACATGAGTATTATTGCTAATATGGAATCCCTTTGACTTGTATTGCTATAGATTAAAGTTGAAAGGGTTGACAAATGTTGTATTACGCTCAAGAGCAGAAAGTTAAGGTATGTGAGGCTAACTCTCTACGTTTGGGAATATTTATGATTCTCCCTACGTCTCATTCCTATGACCATTGCAAATTTTCTCAGAAAGTAATTATGCATCAGTTCCATGAATAGTTGTAGAACTCATATTCTCTATATGACGTGGGTTCATAATTCATTCAATATCCCATGAGCCTCAGTTATGACAGATCATTCTATCATAAATACATAATCCAGTCGAGTCCTATTCAGCATTTCAGTATCATGTAACCCAGTAGGGTTCAATATTTTAGTATCATGTATTGTAGTATGATTCTCAGTTCCTTATTTAAAATCCTGAATGTTGAACACCTGTATTTAGGCCTGAGGCCGTAGTTCATGCTTTATGCATATTTGGGCCTGAGGTCGTAGTTTATGCTTTATGCACCTTTGGGGCTGAGGCCATAGTTATGTATACGTACACTTGGACCCGAGGCCGTAGCTTGTGCACATATAAATTGGGCCTGAGGCCCTAGTTTATCAGATAAATATGTTGTTCATCATTCAGAAGAGGGAGTATTCATATCCTTACTTCCTTGTTCAGTTATCAGTTTATGAGTTAGCAGTTTAGTTTCAGTTCCTGTATTTACAGTTCTCTCTTTCAGTTGTTTTACATTCCACTATAATTCAAATGTATTGACGTCCCTTTTCGCCCCCGCCCTACATCTCGCGATGCAGGTAACGATTTACAGGTTGACGACTCTGCTTGGTAGGACATCTCGTATCAGCTATTGGTGAGCCCCGATTTTTCGGGGCATTATCCCTCTTTTTTTTCAGTCTTTATAGTATTTTAGTTAATAAGGTATACCGTCCCGATAAACAGTTAGTATTTCAGTATTCTTTAGAGGCGTCGTAGACTATAGTCCAGACAGTCAGATATTAGCAGGCGTTTATGTTTTAGCCTTGTCGGCTACTTGTTTATACTTGCAGACTTTTCAGTATTTACCGCATTTATGATATTTCAGTTAGACTCTTTAGTAGATCAGCATGTTGTATGTTTATATTCAGCTTACGGTTATACCACATGTTGATTCAATCATCCAGTTGGTTCGCTCGGTCACATGCAATTAGGCATTGAGTGTCGTATTACGCTCAGGCCATGATTCGGGGCGTGACATATATTTACCGAGCTTCTATCAGAAGGTAATCTGACTAAAAGATATATTTGTAAAGAGATCATGAAATCAATCTTTCTGTGCTTAGTAAGGTTAATCTATCAATAAATTTGTGTTGAATAACATAAATAATCTAATCAGGCTTTATACGACACTTAACGATTCATGTAGCAAAGATAAAGTGGATTGCTATTAATTAAATGGATTACGATATCTAGCTCGTGGATATGAAATTTTGCCAGCTCTGGCTAAATGTTGCGGGCAAGATATATTGTCCGTAAAAGTTTTAACTTTTCGCACAATTAAAAAGCATGAACTTTAGGTAATGGTGAATGTATGAAAGCGATCAATAATATTATTGCGAGACACTTGTCAACTGTTAAACTTGCTTACCGTGTCATTTCAGTGTATTTCCCCTTCCAATTATTCTTTTCTTTTAGTGCACTCTTATCTCTACTATTCATTAAACGCTACGATTAAGGAGAATGTCCGGGTTGAAATTGGATAACTAACTCAAGAACATATTTCAATCATGTCAATGTACAGAGATATATCCCTTAATCCTAACTCAACCCTAAAAATTAACTTACGAGGAGAGGATTGTCTAAATTCATATAAAGAGACACTTCCATTCTCCAATCAATGTGAGACTCTGACCCAGTGTAACACACATTTGCACGCCCAAACCACCAGCTAGAGTATGAACAATATATTATAGGGGTCCAAACGGAAATGGATCTTGACTCTGATACCATATAAAAATATGACACTTGGCCGTAACTCAACCCAAAAGCTACCTGACGAGGAAAATATTAATGCCGAAGTTCATATAAGGAGACCATCAGTCTATTCCCAATCAATGTGAGACTCTAACCCACTCTAACACGATTATTTAAAGAAGGATTTTGAAAATTGGCCCCATGATTAAAATTAACGAATGCAATTAAAATTATAGGAATTGGTACAAAGCCAGGTGGACAACCTAGAAGCTTTTACGCTGTTGAAATTGGCCAAGTTTGGGAGTTGCATATTAGTTTCATCGTGTGATGTCCTTTTAGTAACTATACAAAGTTGTAAGTCTGCTACTAAAGTAGCTATACGTTTCGTCTACTCATTTAAACTTTGACTTTTCTTGTCGTTAATAATTGGAATTGTCTGAAAATCATTCAAAATCAGCAAACTCTAGCGGCAGATTTTTAGTGAAATCTTACAGGCGAAGTTATCAAATATGGCCACAAGACAATGATGAGTTGATGACCTCCACCATATACACAATACATAGTTTATAATATATATATATATATATATNACATATATTTGAGGTCACCAAGGCATATGTATACAAAAAAAATTATACATGTTTCTTCTCATTATTTGTTCCTCTAAATGGATGACTTCCTTATCGATCTAATTTATACGTTGATAAATTTTCCATGTGAGATAGGTAATGGCCAAAAGCCACAATTTAAGCGGCAGTATCACGAATTCAATTCAGTGATCTATTTGTTGTTGCTCACTCAATCAGATTTTCCTTCTTCCATAATTAACCATGAAATAATACAGTAACTTTTAAGTTTGATAATTTGCCTAGATGCTTCACTCTAAGGAGATACAGATCGTGTGTGATGTTTTAATTAACATAATGCGTGATCATTTGGTTCACGCGCGGACTAATTAAGTAGAAAATTTAGAGATTATTTATGCGGATGAATAACAATGTAAAAGTTGTTGTGACGACGCAGCTGTTGTTATCTATAAATTGTTTGCTACTTTGCTACACGAGCTTCTTTATCTTTTAGTTACTCTTATTGCTAATATCGTTTTGTTCTTACACGTTTTAACTTGCTTAAAAAAATAGACAGACTTTTGCATCACATAACTTTTCTATGAGTATATGCAGAACTTTATGTTGAAGTTATTTTTGTTAATGCGGTAAACCAAACGGCTATAGTTTTGTAATAGTTCAACTTTTGATTGAGAGACTAAACAATACTTAAAGGTATGTTATGGAGAAATACACCAACAACAAACAGATATTTATCAATCATAAATATACAAAAAGGAGAAGCCACAACTGAGATGTGCATGATAGTGAAGTAAAAAAAGAGTTGTTTGTGCCTAAAACCTGCGGCCTATAGCAGTTTTTTGAAGAAAACAAGGTGCCTGCTTGCCTGTGTTTACGGTCTATTTACATGTCACTCTGCATGCTATTGACTTTGTTTTTCCAATTAATTGAACCAAATATTTAAAAAGTAAGGACCAAAACAAGAAGAGTGGAAGAAAATACCATGAGCTTATCGTATTACAGGGTAAATATTGGACATTATTAGCAGCAGGGTAAATATTGGACATTACATATGTGTGTACTATTAATTTTCTTTTTTATAAATTTGTATTAACACTAAGCCTACACCAATTGTCATAAAAGAATGAATAAATATACAAGTGCATTACGCTCATCAATTTAATTTCATTTTTATTTAGTATAAATAGCTATACAAGGCTAGCTGGTGATTGGTGTAGGTGGGGAAGGGCATGCAAAACGAAAGAAGGCGGCTTTTCTGAAAGTTGCAGTACATTTTTTATTGCAAAGACTTGCCCACAACTACCCACCACCTTTAATAATTAATGTAGTGGTCTTAAGCCAAAAATCAAACTACACTTTCTCTTGCATTCCATTCAAGTTGTGTTTTCGCATAACAACCCAGAATTAAAGTCTTAAGGAAAATAAATTTATAATCAGCAGTCTAATTTCTATCAACTAATAAACTCGAGAACAGGAAATTGACAATTGACTCACGTTACCTGAATACGTGCTGCTTCTTGTTACCGACATTTTAAACAAAATTTTCATTGAATAATTAGTTTACAAATTTTTCATGATCAAATGGTAGAAATAACTCAATTAATCAATTTGTGGAGATGCTATTGGTAATCACACTTCCGCCTAGTAGGGAAGCTTTTATAAAAGTAAGCGAGCACATACTTAATGTCAGCCTTCTTTATAATTTTTTCTACACGTGAACTTGTTTGACCAAAAATTATTGATTTTGGCTCAACCAATTAGATTTGTATGAAGAAGAATTAATCTTAATTAAAAATAATACCCGTAAAGATAAGTGTCAAGACCAAATAACTAGTATATTTATCCGAATGGCGATGATTATAAGCAACAATAACGATATCCAGTGACCCAAAAAGGTGGAGTATGGCATTCAATAGCAATAAATAACAGTAAATGACATTTATATAAATAAAACATATGAGTCACCCGAAAAGGGATGAGATCAGTGGATATTCTTTCTGACAATGAGGAATGATTGAAAAGCCTTTGAACATTTGAGTTGTTCTTAGATCTAGTGGGAATGCTATGCTAGAATCTTGGTAAAAATATTGTTTTTATATATTTGCGATAAGACCAGATTCTCTCTTTCAAAATCAATGTGTTCTTTACAACAAAATATCTCATGTCCCCTATCATTTTGTTTCTTTCTATTTATAGGGAACATATTCCTAGAAACCCTAATAGTACAAGTGTAGAGAATATCCACTAGAATATTCTCTTTAATGTCCTATATTGAAGCTAACCGTTTTAACTCTATCAAGGGTGTTCGACCTCGACCTCGATCTTTGACGACTCCTCGACCTTAATCCTTGCTGACTCTTCGACTGCAACCGTCATTATTCCTTGAACCACTTCGACGCATGGTGGCCTGTGAATGTCTCGCTAGTACTGTCATGGCTTAAGCATTTTAGAGATAAATTTTGACCTATACAAAACTGAGGTGTGTGGATTGTGGCCTACAAAGTGTTTGTTTGGGAATTAGGTTTAAAAATAACCAATTGTAATAATAATCTATTAAAACCTAAAAGCAAAAAGCAATAAAATATAACTAACTTTTAAATCGAAGTATCCCTGCATTGCGCCTCAATGTTGTCACTTTAATTAACTTAACAGTAAGGTACTAATAATTCCTGCCACAAAAGTTTTAGTAACACACACAAAAAAGAAAGGGGGAGGTGGGGTGGGTCGGAATTCAAGTACTTCAAAGCGTCCTCTTCCTCTACGGAAGACCTATAAATACCCTCTCATACATTCACACATTTTCCATTCCAACAAATCAAAAACATTTTCTTTCCCATATATCTCCCTCTCTTTCAAAGCATCAAATCTATCACAAATTCTAGCTTTCTGATTCGAACCAAATCCTTAAACAAAAAATGGATCAAAATTTGCCAATTGTAGCAAAGAAATTCTGGAACATAGTACGAGTAGCTTTCTTCATGCTGAAAAAAGGCATATCAAAGAGAAAATTTATGCTCGATTTCAACTTATTTATGAAGCGTAGCAAAATTGCTAGCAAAGCCGCAATTCATAATCTCATGTTCCACCACATGACCCATCAATGGTCTAATTCCTCATCTTCTGCCACTTCGCACGTGGGAGATATCTCACACGCTCCACCCAATGAGTACGAGTTCAGCTGCAGTAACAGCCCAGCTTACACTAAAACCTTCCACCTTCCATTCACCTTCAACAAGCGAAGCAAGCACCACGCGCATCATTTTCACGCGCCGGCCATCCCAGACGACGACGTTTTTGTGATGAATGCGGCTGTGATGAAGGCTATGGAGATGCTTCAGAATGATAATTCTTCGCCGGCTAATAATTTGCCGGGTTTTGGGAGGACTCCGACGGTGAGGCAGTTGAGGATTACCGACTCGCCTTTTCCGCTGAGAGATGTTGAAGAAGATAGCCATGTTGATGAAGCTGCTGAAAATTTCATATCAAAATTCTACAGGGATTTGAGGCGGCAAGCTTCTCCTGCTCCATAAATAACGGTGGCCAATGCAATAAAAAACAACAATACAGGAGCTGTCATTGTTTCAATTTTCAGTGTAGTAATTTGGAAATATGGAGAACTTAATTGGAAGCTCAGAAAGTATATGCATATATGCATGTAAAAATTTCAGCTTTCCGTTCTGTCCGTGGATGTTTTTTCCCCCCTTTTCCTTTAGGGGTATTGTGGAAATATCAAAAATGAAAAATGTAGTCCTATGGAATAGTATATAGTTGTGATGAAATCTTTCCATTTATTCTTTTTTATTTGTAATACTATGAAATATTCAGAGGCTTAAGTCCTGAAAGTTTGATTCCAATAATTATCTCTTTCGCTCTATCTTTTTTCTTCTTGGGAGCAGGAGAAAAAGTAAAAGTTGCGACTATGTATACTAGTACTAATTAACATAACGGTTATAGACTTATAGTAAAGTAAAACAGTGTTGGCAAGTTAGAAATTATTCTTTCCTTCGAACCTAAGTGAAAGTGAATATACATATACTCCTTTTTATTTAAAAAAGAATAAACTTATTATTACTATTTTGGGAGTCAAACAAAGTTTTCTTTGACTATATATCTTTTGCAATTTTTTGTTTTTAAAAATTTTAAACTTGTTAACTATTATGACTTATAATAATTTTTATGTCATTTTTAAATATGTAAATTTAAATAATTTATGTCTAAATTCACTCAGAAAATTAGTTAATTTAGCCCAAAAAGATTAAATTGAAACAAAGAGAGTATACAATATCACATATTTATACTCCATCATTCAAGCAAACTTAATGAATTATGAAACATTGTGTACTCGACAGTCTCAGATGTTGATATTCCATAGTTCAATATTTTAGTCCAATAAACCTTAATTGTAGCATAGAATCTTAATTCTACTATGTCAATTGCCCCAACGGAGGCACTTATATGGAGAACGGAATTGACCGAGATGCGATTCCACTAACTCCAAAAGGCTAAACAAATTATGTTCTAGACTCTAGAGTGTAAACAATATTTGAATTAATCAATGCCTCCCTATTTTACCACTTTATTTTGTTTTTATAGTGTTCTGTAAAGCAACTCCCTTACTTTTAAGGCGGGTCTCTCTACCAAAAGTAAACCTTCTTTGCCAGTAGACAGACACATCCACAAAAACAATTGATTTCAATAGTGGCACTTGTTTTCATTTTTTTCTTTTTTAATTCAGAGAGAAAGAAGACATTGAGAAAATAATCTCTCTTATGATCAAATACGATTTGAATAAAAGTTTTTTGTATTTATTCTATTGATCACCTGTACTATATTTTATTATCGATCTCGTCTAATCAGGCTTTATAAAGTAAAACATTTCAATCTTACCGACTCATATGGAAGAGATAAAGTAAATTGCTAGTATTAATTAATTGGATTATGATCTCTCATGGATATGATTTTTTGTCAGTTCTGACTAAATATTGCAGGCAAGATATATATATTGTTTGTAAAAGTTCTAACTTTTTGTCACTAATTAAAAGCTACGCATTGTGAAAGTAAGAAAGCGAAATTTTATTGAGAGACACTTGTTAACTATTGAACTTGCTTCTTAAACTTTTTAACATGCTTACTGTGTCATTTCATTATATTTCCCTTGATTTAATTAGTAAAATCGACTTATGCAGTCAGACCTTTCTATAACAATATCTCTATACAAACATTTACTATAAAAGTCAAGTTTTTCGCAGAATCGATTTTTCAAGTTATATTTTACCTTTTTTTAACAGCTTTTTACATATAGATAACGGCAACAACCATATTTATATCAGAACGTTCTTTGTAAAATTACCCATCTATAATAGTCATATAAAATCATTAAGATTACTAATAATAATTTTAAAACTATGCACATAATATTTTCTATTAAACAAAGTTTGTATCTTGCATAAGATATGAGAATTGAAGATTTGCACATGATATCTTTTCCATTGGACAAATTTCAGAAATATTTAGATAGAAAATTTAATTGTTAAGCTCTTAGATTATCTTCAAGGGAAAGCTATTGGATGCCTTTTTGCTGAAAATTTGGACATGATTTTTCACCAATTCAAGCGTTATATCGCTAGTAAGAGAATGAAATCTACGAAAAAGCTACAATTACAAAGTTCTATCAATCTTGAAAGAATTTATTTTTTTAGGTAGCTTTAAAATGTCTGCCTTAGAGTTTAAATTTTTATATGTGTAGTTACGAATTTATTAATAATGTATTAGCTTTCTTCAATATTTAACTAGTGAAATATGCATATCTTTTGAGATTTTAAATTTGAATAAATTTTTTATCTGTTAATTTTAACATTAAAAAAGAAAAAATAATTGAATTTTGAATTATTTTTTTTTATCTATAACAGTCAAAAAAATATTTTAACAGTAAATGTTGCTATAGGTGTATAATTGTCATTCACTATAAAAACTAAAAAATATCGGAGCAAATGAGGTTATTATAGAGAAGGTTGACTGCATATGATTTTCACAATCATTCCTTGATTATGTAATTAGGTTGCATTAATCACTGGACTAATTTCCAGTCCAACTTTAATTTGCTTCCATTTGTGGTGTTGGTCGTATGCTCTGACAATAATTAATTGAAAATTGTCACAAATTGACTTCTTTAAATCACAAATTGGCAGCCATTAGTTGTTATACTGATCACTTTGTAGGATGGAGAATACTCAGGTTGACACATTGAAGCACCTACTCTTCAATAATTTTCTCATAACCAACATTGAATTTGTTCATAAAGACACATCAATCTTGATAAGTCAGGAGTAGAAGCTAGAAGGTATAAAAAATAAAAAAAAATACTCGGTATTTGAATTATAGAAAATATTGGTTTTTTGTTGACTTGGGAAAAGGTTTTACATATACTAAAAAAGTTGTTTATGTGGCCGAAACGCAATTCTGAAAAAAGAGAAAAGGAAAACAAGCTCTAACATTTTCTGCTTGGAATTTACAGCTAAAACAAGAGGTATTTTCAATTTTCTGCTTTACTTTTCCTTTTTTTTAATAAAACAAAACAAGAGATGATTTGTTGTAAAAAACAATTGTTCAATTTTCAAAAATAAACATGCTCAAGACATAAATCTTTCGAATTTATCAACTTGCCATAATTATTACTCCCTCCAGTCTACTTTAAGTGATTTTTTGGATCTTTTCACACATATTAACGAATTCACCTTTTAGCATTAATTAACAATGAAATTGACTATATTAACCTTAATTTTGCTAATTGAAAATATAACAAACTACTCCTAGGCTCTTTAATCCAAGGGCAACTTTGAAAAGAGAAATTAGTTCCTTCTTACAATAACAACAACAACAACAACAACAACATGAACCCAGTAGTAATCACACTAGTGGGGTCTGGGGAGGGTAGAGTGTACGCAGACCTTACCCCTACCCGGGGGCAGAGAGGTTGTTTCCGGGAGACCCTCGGCTCAGAGACAAAAGATTTGTAATAACACAGAAACCAGACAAATAGAATCAGCACCGTAAGAGACAACAAATAAGTGGAAGGGCAATAAGTATGTCAATAATAAAATTGAAAAATAAATAAATTATGGAAATAAAAATCGTGTGATGAATAACAACCGCTAGCAGACCTAGACCAAACTCTATCAGACTAGCTAGAAAAATGCTCAACTACCCCCTAACCTACAACCGTAATTCTCGACCTCCACACCTCCCTATCCAGGGCCATATCCTCGAAAATCTGAAGTTGCGACATGTCTTGCCTGATCACCTCGCCACAATACTTCTTAGGTCTCCCTTTACCTCATCTCGTACCTATAAAAGTCAATTGTTCACACCTCCTAACCGGGGCCTCTAGGATCCTCCTCCGCATGTGCCCGAACCATCTAAGCCTCGCTTCCCGCATCTTGACGTCCATGGGAGCCAAGCCCACCCTCTCATGAATATCTTCATTCCTAATCTTATTAAGCCTAGTGTGCCCACACATCCATCTCAACATCCTCATTTCGGCTACTTTCATCTTCTGGATA